AGCAGTTATGCAATTTTCTATTATCACTCTCACGGGTTACTTGGAAATCATATTCTGCGTTTAGGACAAAGCAAGGCCTTTGATTAAGATAATTTTCTCAGAAGCAAGCGAAAAAGTAGGCTTCAAGTTAACAGACGTTACACACAGGAATTCTTACCACTCTTTGGATTTTTAAGGAGTTAGCCATTTAGCGCACTCAATCCTCTATCTCCACAAGTTGTGCGCATTGAAGTGATCACGACTTTTCGAAGTTAAATCACTAAAAACTATGGGAATCTCAAATGGTACCGTTATCTGAAATTCAGTTGTGTCACGTTGCAGAAGTTAATTTTGATATTGATTCTGTTGTTTTGTGATGAGCTTTCAAAAACTTATCAAGAGCAAGGCGCAAGTAGCCCGCATTGTGATTCTAGAAGGTGAGAGAACGTAGAGTTATCAAACTTGAAGCATTCTGAATACGGTAAATCCAAATTGTTTCATGCTGGCTTACCATGAAGATCTTTTGGCCTGCAAAACTGAACATTAATCTGAATCAAGAGTACTATTCAAATTGGTGATCTGAAATGCACGTTAGCTTCGTTAAAGCGTTAAATTTACTACTGATCTCGCATGCTTGCAATGCAGCCAGTCCAAAAATATCAGGTTCCATGAATTTAGCAGCAGTTTTTTCTGCTGCATGTCCATTTGAAGGGGGTGTATGTCGAGTGGCGCAATTTCGGGTTGTCACTAAGGGCACATCCGCAATGAGCTCTATATTATATGGAGTTTTCAAATCGTAATTTTCATTATTATCCATAATAAAGAACATACAAGGTGTCTATTTGATTCAGAATCATAACAAGAGAGCACCATTTAAGGATATAAAGCTGCAAGTAGGAAAATTCAAAGATGGATCCGGAGAAGTTTTTATCTATAGCTTTAACAAAAATCACTCACAAGCTTTCATAATGCCCATGTAGTATCACCTAGCTGATATATTGGTGGAACTCCTTCCTTGGTTTTTTTTTTTTGAAAAGCTCAAAACTTATGAAAATAGTTTTTTATGGTGTTATTAGCATGTATATACAGTGACAGCCTGGAAAATCGCGCTACTCAACCGCCTCCCATTTGAAGGTGGCATTTGTTTCCCTGAGTATTACTTAGCAGCAATATCTCACAATCGGCAGTTGTTCTTACTGTGGTTGCGGAATGTGTAACTATTCTAAGTTATTACGTTTCATTGCACGAATTAAATTTTCTTGACAAAGTTTTTTGAGGGAATGTTTCAGCCAAAAAAGCTGGTGTTCTTAGATAGCCTTCAAGCGAACTTGTTTACAATCATAACTAATTCGCCCCTTGTCGAATATTCGATAGAGCTCGTTTGTCTTGTGGAGTTTTATCTTGCTATTAAAACTTGGAACAGGTAACTCCTTTCATTCCCAAGCTTTTTTGATTTTCTATTATGCTCTTTCATTTTTTTTTTGCGAACGATCAGATAGGTTTATGCGAGAAAACCTTGGGTGCGCAAGACAGATTTACTGCATGTCCATACGTTGTTTATTAGATGTCTCTTCTTGGAAAGTATGCAAACTGTTTGATTGGTCATTTTTGTGTCTACCATTCTGGACTTACCCTTTTCAGCGAAAAAATGGCAATCGCGAAAAAGTGAAGTCTTTTCGTGATTTGATCTCGTCTTGGCCAATTCATGACATCGAAACACTGTACAGAGTAAGCTATTTAGATCTTGTGACATGTGTTTTAAGCTGTTTTTGCGGTAGTGCCTCCTATCGGGTATGCATGAGAGATTGTAATGTTCTTTGATTCACTGTTTTTCGTAAATTCATCTATAGGAGTTGGAGACGTCACGTGTCCTCTCATTGTTTCAAAATGCAGCTGATCATGCTCGTCCAGCTGTTTTAAGCTTGGAGGAGCAGCTCTTCTCAAGTGCAAATAAGGATTTTGTTCTGATAGTTGACGTAAGTTACGCCCATCTCCGACAGCTCGTTTGATAACTTCTTTGATTTCAGAACGCCGCATACCCCATACATCGTCGTATAGCTATTGCGAGATGTGATTTGATACAGGAGTTATTGAGTCAACAGAACGTGTCTGAATTGCATTTGTCACCTCCGTATGGTAGACGTCTTACCAAACAGGAGCTATGGTGAGTTTTCAGTAGTATATTAAGCAATGACATAAGGTAAACGTTGGATCGAGGATTTCCAGCATGTTCATACGTTATCTTTATACCGGAACTTGGAGTGGTAGTGCAGACATGCTCCAGTTTTTTCGAGATTGGATGAAATGCTACAGAGACCTAGCTGTTGATTTGTGCACTGCGGAGAAGATGGCTTCGAAGGATGGGGATCTTAAGATTATCCTCGCATCTCCGAATTCCAACGAAGAAAAACCAGCGAAAGGTTAGCATACATGTTTGGCAGATGCAACTATTGAATTGAAAATATTTCTTCTGACACCGTTCATTAGTTTCGACAAATGCCGTGTACGTGTTAATGTAAATCAATTATATTGCTTGATTTACAAAGTTTGTTTGAGTCGATGATAAGATGCAGTCCCTTCAGTTGAGTAGTCCCTAAAGAGGAGCTGTAACCCTACTTAGAAGTTACTCTTGGATAAATCATGCTCTTTTGCAGCTTGCATACCAGACTACAGCATTCGTTGCGATTCTTCGATAGTAGCATCTAGAAGTGAGGTTTTTCGAGGACTCCTCAAGCACATTGGAGAAGGGAACAGTGTTGTACTTGACGAGACTCTGTTGCCTCGAGGCTTTGCGACTGTGCTCATTCATTTTCTTTACACTGATGAGCTTGATTTTTCATTGGTGCTGTTCTTTGTTTTTACAGCGCATGATACCTCGAATGAACCGGATTTCTTTAAGGTCCCCGAAACTACGTTATCGCAGTCCTCTTTATCGGAGGCGCGTGCTATTGTTGCAGGACGAGCCCCACATTCTCCTTTGCACTATGCCATACAACTTATCCACATCGCTAAATTTTTTATTTTGGAAAAACTTGCCCAACGTTAGTTTGTTTACCTGCATAGGCAGTACATCATAGTGTTCATTTTAAATGTAAGTTGTAATTCAGTTTGTGAGGATGTCATCGTCTCGGCTCTTTGCCAGGAAAGTTGCGTCTCAATTCTGAGCTGGGCAATTGATGGAGGATCACAATATGTTGCTCAACGTGCACAAAGGTTAGCATACTTCCCATGCTGATGTATCGTCTCAGACAGATTATGATAATTTACAAGCATTTCCCAGTTTTATGGTTCACGCATTGTTTACATGACTCTGTTTTAACACTATTGTTAGTGTTTTAATTGTGTAACAACACTTACAAACTTTTTTTTTGATATTTTAAAAACTGAACTTTTAGCTTTCTGCAATCCGAGTTTGCTCAGATTGCTGCAACG